AATGCGTTATCGACTCATGGAAAAGACCCTTTAAATAACAAGAGACGGCCAAGTGCGAGTCGGATGCGCGCATGAAGGGTTCCGTACCATCGTAATACACGTTTCTAATAGGAGAGCCCCTTTTAATTTTTAATTTATTTTAATTTTTATTTGTTGTTAAAGCGGCAACAGAAACACACATTCTGTAATTTTTTTTTCATATAAAATACACGCATTTAAAATAATAATAAACATCACCAAACTGTGCAACAGTTTGTTGGCGATAATGACGCTCTTTTGTTATACATTAATATGTGTTTTATGTTACATATATACTTATCTTAGGTATATTATTACAATAAATATATCTATCTTTAATTAATACATATTATAGGTAGTACGTTATACTTTTCATAGGAATGCATCTTTCAGTCTTTTCTTTAATGTTACATTACTTATGTCTTTGGACGTATCTCTTATAAAATTTATTCTTAAATATTAGCGGATTTAAATATTGTCTAGTTCTCTTACCATAATAGTTACTTATGTGTGGTATCACGTAATTACCCTTCTCAACTTGCCTGGTACGATATTTATGCGTTATAAGTAGGTTGTTTATATTTATTTATTTTGTATTGTTCTTCTGGGTTACGGATTTATTACGGATCATGAGATACAACTCCCTGACAGACAGACGGACGGACAGCGGAACCTGAGTAATAGGATCCCGTTAGTTACCCTTTGGATACGGAACCCTAAAAATGGTATATATGTACGTACGTTTATAACTATTTCTAACGCCTGCGTTTGCGAGCCCTACTTTCTCTGAAAGTAAATTAATGTCATTTTGAACGCACTCTCGACATTTGCTTTCACCGCGTAAACTGCTATAATGTTAGTTTAACTGTTGGTCGTGAAACCAACGGGTATAGTGTATTTTTTGAGACTAGGCCAACTTACACTTTGTTTTTATAAAAATGGGGTTGAAAAACGAGCACACAATTCACCTGTTAAATGTCTGGTCTGATAAATGACTGGAAAATATGAAACAAATGCTCTGATAACGATGTGAACCTCAAGATGGCGCGTTATTATTTCTTATTTCTTCTTAACACTGGCAGAAGTACAACAGTACGACTCGTATCGTATATATATATATATATATATATGTGTATATATATATATATATATATATATATATATATATATATATATATATATATATATATATATATCGGCCAAATGTGCAGAAAAGGTTCAGAATAAGTAATATAGACAAACGGTAAAAAAAAATCTCAAACATTCTGTCCTTTTTATTTTTTAAATTCAAAATGCGTGGTAATGCATTCTTTAAACTGATTTCACTGCGCACGCACACATTCGTAAGGGTCGATCGGTAGGCGAAAACGTTGTTGCCCATAAATCACATTCAATTTGGGATAATCTATATACAATTAAATAAAATTGAAGTGTCTGTTTGTAATGTCAAAATAACAGCTTTTTACTAAATGCATATGAAAGTACATATGGTACTAATAACAAAACACAATTTTAAACATTTATCCTGTCTGTCCATCTGTCTGTCTGTTTGTTCCGGCTAATCTCCGAAACGGCTGGACTGATTTTGACGGGACTTTCACTGGCAAATAGCTGACGTTATAAGGAGTAACTTGGCTACTTATATTTTAGAAAAATAATTAGGGTTCCGTGCAACATAATTAAAACCCTAAATTACACGCGGGCGAAGTCGCGGGGAACAGCTAGTTTCAAATAAAAGTAGAAACCTTATTTACTCGTATTTTCACAAAATTCCAATAACGATTATATCATTATTTATATATTTGAACTTAAGTTTAAAATTTGGCCACTCTTTGAAAAATAACCCTGTATATAGAAATCCGGAATAAGATGAAGTATTTGCACAACCAGATGCAGACACTCATCTTCATGACTGTCCCTGTTCACGATGCAACGCCTACGCAATGACACTAATAATTTAATGAGCTACGTGTCCATATAAAGCAACGATAGACATAGATACTGTAAGATCTAATAAGCTGACTGCCTCGTTAGTCCAGTGGTCGATCATGAGGTCCCGGTTTTGAATCCCGGTTCGGGTCAAAATTATTTATTGAGTTTTTCCATCAAGAAATTCTCAGTAGCTGCCCGGAGTCAGGAAGCTGGCGTTGTTACAACCCCGTGCTTCGGAAAGCACATAAAGCCGTCAGTCCTGCACCTTTTTTATATAGGATAAGGGTGACAAACGAGCACACAGTACATCTGATGGTAAGTGGTTGCTGCGGTCCATAGACATTTACATGTATCCTCTATTACAAATCAAAATACAAATGCGTTGCCACCCGTGAGGACTAAGATGGAAAGCCTCGTTTCCAGTAAAAAGGGTCTCCAGTTCTCTACACTCACCATACGGAACACAACAGCGTTATTTTACGCTGGTATTCCGTGAGAGCGTGGTCCTTCCCCGGTCGAGCCGACCAATTCGTGCTACAACTATACTACTAAGTACTAATATAGCTGCAGCATGGCTCTACTACGAAAACCTTTTACGCATTATTAAGGATAATTCAAAACTACTGCTCGGATCTTGATCAAATTTATATGGGACCACATGAGAAGCACTAGCTTTCACATAAAAAAAAGTTATGAGGTAACACACATAAAAAAAACATATAGTCAAATTGGGCACCTCCTTCTCTTTGAATTCGGTAGAAAAAAAAACAAAATAAGCACGCTAAAACTAAAATTATTTTATTTTAACCTGGTGATCCTGATCGGGATACTAGGATAAAGTTATTAATTATTGTATTGTAATCGGTCCTAGTTATGTGTGCAAATTTTCAACTCAATCGGCCGTTTACAAGTTGGTGAAAATTACATTAAAAGATTCCATTACAAAGATACACGCGTAAATCGACATTTAAAATTGTAATTTACAATTAATGATGAATCTAAATGACAGAGTGAGAAATAGTGTGATAAGAGAAGAGTGTGGTTTGCAAGATGATGTTGCGACCAGGATTAAGAAAGGAATGATTCGGTGGTTTGGTCATGTAGAGAGAATGAATGAGGAAAGAGTTTATGTTGCAGAGGTGAACGGCAGAGTCGGGAAGGGACGCCCTAGGCGAAAGTTTATCGACCAAATTGGCGATATATTGAAAATGGGCCAAATCAAGAGTATCTTTAACCGACGAGCGTGTATGCGTAGGAGGTGTGTCAGGATCGTGCCAAACGGAAGTCCATAGTCTCTGCCTACCCCTCTGGATGACAGGCGTGAGTGTTTATGACTATGATATTATGAATTTCAGTGGTACCGGCGCGGTTCGAACCCGGGTTGCTAGCGTACTGTGATATTTACAGCGAGCGCTAACCATCTGAGCTACCACGGCTATCTAACATGTTATGCACTTTTACATACATTGCATTACAGTGTAACCTTGATATAACGAGCCTTAATATAATAAATTCCTCGATTTAATGAATTTTTCAAAATCCCCCTAGAAATGCTCGTAAGGGCTAATGCAAATTATACCTCTACATTACGAATACATTCATCGAAAACCTCTTTATAACGACTTCTTACTTGTTACAATGAATCGTGAATTACTTGGTATAACGAATATTTTCTAATGAGTGTGAAATCCACGACTTTTTCTGCCTACAGGGCGGCGCGGCGTCACTTTACAATGAGGTAAAATATTTGACAGATTTCATAGCGGGGACGACAATTTCTTAGGAAAATTAAAACTTTAATGTTTCTTTCCGTATGTATTACTAGCTACATTTTACATTAATAACTTTAGAAATGAATAAACCAAACTATAAATAAAACTAAAAGCAGAAAAATTAAAAAAAGTGTTATAAAGTGCAAAAAATTAAAAATCAAACCACTAAAGCATTGTGTTGTATATTAATATAATACTCTAGATAATGATAACCTATGATTTAAAACTAATTTCTCAATTAACTGACATTGTGTAACAAAAAACTTTACCTCAGTCACAACTAGCGATATCTAGTGAGTGGAAGATTATTAGCTCTCATTCCCTTCAGTTTCGTGCAGTGGCAGTGTACTTCATCCACCATTGAATTTTGTTTTTTTTTTTTTACAGGATAAGGGTGACAAACGAGCACACAGTCCACCTGATGGTAAGTGGTAGCTGCGGCCCATAGACATCTACATCTATCTATTACAAATCAAAATGTAGATGCGTTGTCACCCGTGAGGACTAAGATGGAATACCTCGTTTCCAGTAAAAAGGGCCTCCGGCCACCTGCACTCACCAAGCGAAACGCAGAGGTAAACCTCTACTTCACGCTGGTTTTGGTGTGAAGTTCTGGACTTCAAGGATGTTGCAGGAAATAATCCCTTCTTAGAACTGGCTGGATTTGCAACAATGTTGCTGACGTTGCCACATTCAAACGTGTATTCAGCCAAGTTAACTTGGTTAAAACAAAACTGAGAGACAGTTTGTCTTTAACAACATTAAACACTAACGTAAGATTTGGACTCAAAAGTGTAAACAAATGCTGTCACTCCTACGGTATACCTGATGCAATATTACGAAAAGTCAAATGAGATATATGCGTCCTCGTCTTCTGCTACAGACCCACCGATTGCACCTGACCAAGGAGATACCGACGAGGATCTGAATATTTTGTATGTATCACGGAGTGACTGATTGTTGTCCATGTATATTGTACCTATCATTTTGTAAAAAAAAACTTGTAAAATAAGTGTTAGCCTTTTTATTTTGCATATTCCGCAAATTTTACCATATTTTTGGCAGTTTACAAACATGGATTTAGCATTAAATATTTTTAAAAGTTGGCAGCACTGGTTTCGTTATATCACAGATTTATAGGTTATATCGAGTTTGCACTGTAGGTACTCAGTAACAAGTGTTATATATGGGTCTGTATTAGATGTGTCCTCGTGCGTCATAGCTTTGAATAGCTTAAATAATGACTAACTCTGTTGAATCGGTTTGTTCCAGAACAAAATGCGTACACTGCTGTTCGTTTTTGTGGCGGCCATTTTGTGCAGCGCGTGGGCAAAGACTAAAAGAGATGACAACAAGGTATGTATACCTGCGTTTTATTCCATTTATTTTTATATTTCGTGTTTCTCACAGGAAAAATAAAATATAGTTTATAATTTGTTTTTATATTATAAATGCCTTTAGGTATAATCAGAGGATGCTATCCGGGTATCCGGATGTTCCAATTATCCGAATATCTGTCAAGCATAATATCCGGATATATTCGGATGAAACGCACATTTATATAGCACATGTCATTAACACATTTTCTACGTGGTAGAGCTATATTAATAGTATAGTTGTAGCACGAATCGGTCGGCTCGACCGGAGAGGACCACGCTTTCACAGAATACCAGCGTAAAATAGGAGCTTAATGTTGCTATGTTTCGTATGGTGAGTGTAGAGAACCAGAGACCCATTTTACTGGAAAAGTGGCATTCTATCTTAGTCCTCACGGCTGACAACGCATCTGCATTTTAAGACAGTTTTAGATGTCTATGGGCCACACTACCTACTTACCATCAGGTGGACTGTGTGCTCGCTTGTCACCCTTATTCTACATAAAAAAATGTAATTTTTAAAATTTTGTTTCGTCAAAATCACTAATAAAAACTAGAGACAAAACTTTATCGACCAAATTGGCGATATATTGAAGATGGGCCCTTAACTGGCATATACGTAGGTATATGGATGCAAAGAAAGCGAGAAAGGTGTGTCAGGTAGTTCGTAGTCTCCACTAACCCCTCTGCGTGCCAGGCGTTCATGCTTTTTTATGCGTATCATCCTAGGTGAAGATCGCAGTATACTACGAGTCTCTGTGCCCTGACAGCAAGCGCTTCATCACTACGCAGTTGGCGCCCGTGTGGCGCGACCTCCGAGGAGCCGTGAAAGTCAAGCTCGTCCCGTATGGAAAAGCCACCGTGAGTACATTTACTGTTGAAACTCACTAGAATAGAACAGAATGGAATCATTTTTATACAATACAGTGTACAAGCAGTGGCGTGGCTATCGTAGAGCTAGGCCTTTGAGCTTGAGGCCCTTAAGGCCAAAGGGCCCTTTAGGCCAAAGGGCCCTTTATTTTTTACTAGCTTCCGCCCGCGACTCCGTTCGCCTGGTATGTACCAAAATTGAAAATTGTCCCACGGGATCCTTTTATCGGATTAAAAGTATCCTATGCCATGTCTCAGGTTGAGCTCTATCGGTGTGCAAAATTTCATCCAAATCCATCCAGTGGCTTTCGTGAAAGCGTAACAAACAAACAAACTTTCACATTTATAACACTATTAGGAAGAACGATTAAATATTATCTTCTGCGTTACACATAATCAGGGCATCCATGACTTTTTCTGCCACCAGGGCGGCGCCACTAGAAAGTGAGGTATAATATTTGACAGATTTCATAGCGGGGAAGTTAATTTGTTCGGAAAATATAAAGGTTAATGTTTCTTTCTGTATTTTATTTTATTATAGCTATATTTTATATTAATAAGATTAAAAATAAATAAACCAAACCATAGATATTCATAAAAGTAGAAAAATTAAAAAAAAAGTTAAAAATGAGCAAAAAATTAAAGAGCAAACCACTGAGGCATTGATAGAATCGGGCGTTACTTTGCGGAAATCCATTATAATGGGGTTGTTATAAACTAATTTGCTTAATTCCGCGTAAAGAAAGAAAATGATGTGTCCTGCCCAGTTTTAAGGGGACCTCCCACCCTCCCGTTTTAAGGGGACCTCCCACCCTCCCTAAATCGCGCGCACTATACCCGTTGCCGTTAATCCCAGCACTACCGCCCCCAGCACCAGCACACTAGGCACGACACACCACTCTCGAAAATACGACACGTGTTTCGCCTCTACACGAGGATCCTCAGGTGAAGTAGACTCTGCGGAGGCTGGCCGCTAAGTGAGCGGCGAGCCGAAACTACTGCTATTTATACTACTTGCTGACGCAACCGCGCTCCAATTACGTAGCGAGCGATTACGTCATGCGATCAAACACCGCCTGACGTACGCCGATATTTGCTGTGAAATTAACAACAAACTACTGCGAAACGTCCGCCTACCCTACAACCACGCAAACAAACGCTGACCACCGCACCGTGAGGGTGACAAACGACAATGTTGCGAGGCTATATATCATCAAGGAGCAGGTTTAAACATGTTTAAGAGAGGCGAGTTGGAAACATTTGTTTGTTCATTCAGCAGTGCAACATAACCGTTATTATTTTTTAATATCTCTAACTGTTCCAGCACACACAGTCGTAGCCCTTTATTACAAGTATGTAAGACTTTAAAGGAGAGGTCATTGGATAGGCTGTGTCCAGTGTCTAAGAGATGTTTAGCAAAAGTGTGATTTATCGGGGTCACAATTCCTGTACGCATGTACGCTGTTGAAAGGCATTTAAGTTTTACCACTGGGTCACCGAGTTCACTTACCATCAGGTGGACTGTGTTCGCTTTTCACCCTTATTCTATATAAAGAAAGTTAGGGATATGCAGGATAGATACAATTAAGAACGGGAAGTATGATGAAACAATGCACGCTTTGAGTAGATTTTTGTAGGAAGAAAGTTCAAATGAAGATGAAACAACTCTTTATTTTTACTCTTTATCAGTGGTAGAGCCACGCGGCAGCATTTGCTGTCGCACGGATGGGCCGGCTCGAACCGGGGTGGTACCACGACCTCACAGAAAACCAGCGTGAAGTAGAGGTTTACCTCTGCGTTTGACTTGGTGAGTGCAGGTAGCCGGAGGCCCTTTTTACTGGAAATGAGGCATTCTGCCTCATTTCCAGTAAAAAGGGAAACTGCGGTTGCCAACCCGCTCGCCAAGCGTGGCAACTATGGCAAATACCCCCCAATGACTAAAGCAACAAACAGACGGCCCCCAGTCCCCGGCGGCCCCGCTATTCCTGGCTACGGTGGCGACCATGGTAACGGCGGGGCAGGGGGTGCTAAGAATCTCCGGTGGAGGTTCGGTTGCCACCTTAGACGACTCGACCTGGCAACGTACAACGCACGCACCCTGAGGACTGACGAGAAGATCGTGGAGCTGGAAGAAGAGATAGACAAGTTGCGCTGGCATATTATAGGATTATCCGAAGTCCGAAGAGAGGGGGAGGACACGGTAATCCTCGAATCCGGCAACTTGCTCTATCACCGGGAGGGCGACCATCTGTCCCAAGGAGGTGTCGGATTTATCGTCCACAAGTCTCTCGTTAACAACGTTGTAAAGATCGGGAGTGTGTCGACCAGGGTTGCGTACCTTATACTCAGAATCACCAAACGGTATTCGCTGAAGGTCATACAGGTTTACGCACCAACCTCGGCACACCCCGATCAGGAGGTGGAGGAAATGTATGAGGATATCTCTAGAGCCATGCATTCCTCCAAAACCCAATATACGGTGTTAATGGGAGACTTCAATGCAAAACTAGGCACAAGAGAGAACGGTGAGCTGAAAGTAGGGAAATTTGGAATAGGGCAACGGAACCCAAGGGGCCAGCAGCTGGCCGACTTCATGGAGAAAGAGGGACTCTTTATGATGAACTCTTTCTTCCAGAAGCGGCCCCACAGGAAGTGGACCTGGTCGAGCCCCGACGGTTCGACAAAAAATGAGATTGACTTCATTATGACGACCAGACGACAACTGTTCAGTGATGTCTCCGTGATCGCGAGGGTGAAAACTGGTAGCGATCACCGAATGGTTAGAGGCACACTGAACCTAAACGTTAAGTTGGAGAGGTCTCGTCTAATGAAGTCAACGCTCCGTCCCCCTCGTGCTCTGTTCCAAAGTCCCGAAACCTTTCAGCTCGAGTTACAAAACCGATTTCAGTGCCTAGAAGACTGCAATGAAGTGGACGATATAAATGACAAGCTCGCGGAAACTGTCCATGCGGTCGGAGCTAAGTTCTGCAAGACCCGCCGCAGAAGAACACAAAAACTCTCCGATCACACTCTTAATCTCATGGCTGTTAGACGGGAGATGAAGCTACATTCTTCAACAGACTTGACAGCATACAGGCATCTGAACAGACAGATCTCCAAATGCATGCGGCGGGACTTACGCAACTTCAATACAGCTCGTATTGAAGAAGCGATAGAGCGGAACCAAGGCTCCAAGTCTTTGCCAGAGATCTGTCTGCCAGAAAGAGCCAACTGTCAAAGCTGAAGACAGAATGTGGCAGCATCGTTTCCGGGACACCTGAGATTTTGAGTGAGATTGAGAGGTTCTATGGGCAGCTGTACACGTCATCGTTGGAGCCATACGCAAGTGTGAGTAACGATCCAAGAGCGAGTCTCATCCGACACTATTCCGAAGATATCCCGGACGTCAGTCTGAGCGAGATTAGAATGGCTCTCCAGCACCTTAAAAACGGTAAGGCCCCAGGCGAGGATGGAATTACAGCGGAGCTTCTGAAAGCGGGTGGAAGACCGGTACTTGAAGTCCTTCAGAAGCTCTTTAATTCTGTCCTCCATGGTGGCATTACACCGGAGGCGTGGAGCAGAAGTGCGGTGGTCTTGTTCTTCAAGAAAGGTGACAACGCTCTCTTGAAGAACTACAGACCGATTTCCCTTCTGAGCCGCGTCTACGTGCTGTTTTCGAGAGTCATTACGAATCGTCTCGCGCGCAGACTTGACGACTTCCAGCCTCCCGAACAAGCCGGTTTCCGAAAGGGCTTTAGTACCATAGACCACATACATACCCTTCGGCAAGTTGTACAGAAGTCCGAAGAGTACAATTTGCCACTATGTCTGGCGTATGTGGACTATGAGAAAGCCTTTGATTCCGTCGAAATTTGGGCGGTGCTGCAGTCCCTTCAGCGGTGCCAAATTGACTGTCGGTATATCGAAGTGTTGAAGTGCTTGTACAGTAGGGCTACGATGGCTATCCGAGTACAGAACCAGAGTACGAAACCTATCCAATTGCAGAGAGGTGTAAGACAGGGTGACGTCATATCCCCGAAACTCTTCACCGCTGCATTGGAAGACGTTTTCAAGCTTCTGGACTGGAAAGGATACGGTATCAACATCAATGGCGAGTACATCACTCACCTTCGATTTGCCGACGATATAGTCCTTATGGCAGAATCGCTGGAGGGCCTAAGCACTATGCTCAATGACCTCAATAGTGTTTCCCAACGGATAGGTCTTAAGATGAACATAGACAAAACAAAGATTATGTTTAATGTCCATGTCACACCTATGCCGGTAGTTGTTGGGAACACTAAGCTCGAAGTTGTTGACGAGTATGTTTACCTGGGACAAATAGTCCGACTAGGTAAGTCCAACTTCGACCGAGAGGTCAATCGACGGATTCAACTCGGCTGGGCAGCGTTCGGGAAGCTACGACACATCTTCTCGTCAGACATACCTCAAAACCTTAAAACGAAATTGTACAACCAGTGCGTGTTGCCAGTGATGACTTACGGAACTGAGACGTGGTCCTTCACTGCTGGCCGTATGAGGAAGCTCAAGGTCGCTCAGAGAGCTATGGAGAGGGCTATGCTCGGAGTTTCTCTGCGTGATAAACTTAGGAATGAGGATATCCGCAGTAGAACCAGAATAACCGACATAGCCCAACGAATTAGTAAGCTGAAGTGGCAGTGGGCCGGCCATATAGCTCGAAGAACCGACAACCGATGGGGAAGAAAGGTTCTCGAGTGGCAACCTCGTACCGGTAGGCGAAGTGTAGGGCGTCCCCCCACGAGATGGAGTGACGACCTGGTAAGACATGCAGGAAGTCGATGGATGCAGGTGGCTCAGGACCGTGCTTTGTGGCATTCTTTGGGGGAGGCCTATGTTCAGCAGTGGACTTGTGAAGGGCTGTAATGATGATGATGAATGATGAGGCATTCCATCTTAGTCCTCACGGGTGACAACGCATCTACATTTTGATTTGTAACAGAGGATAGATG